AATCCCGCCTAATGCCGCGAGTTTTTTCATAATTGGGTCAACTAAATTAACTAAATCTGCCAAACCAATTTAAGAAATGTGGATAGTGGACTTACAACCTTGCTGTGTCTCCTTTTCAGGAGCTCTGTGCCCAGCTGCATGTGAAGCCCAGCGTCTTCGTTCGTACCACAGACCAAGTTCATATGCGCAATGTTCAACACATTTGGGTAAGCTTCTTTGTTGTAGTCTGCAACTTGCTACCCAAACTTTTGTAATATATTGTCTTTGCTACTTATTTCATATAGGTAGCGTGTAATTACTAAAACATTGATAAAACCAGTGCGGTTAAGATTGTCTCGGCTCTGGCTGCACAAGGCAGCTTCTTACGATTATTCCTTTTCTTTAACAGAAGAGACTAGAAACAGGTGGTTTCTTTTACTGGAACAAGTTTTCCGGCTGGTACTGTGCTACCGACGAGGCATTCTACGCGGACTGGGAGCTAGAGGACGCTGACAAAACCGGCAAAAAAGTTGCCAAGGCTTCGGGAAACGCAGTAGAATGGATCGAGGAGGAGACATGCCGTTTCAGTTTAAAACAATTCAAACCCGATCTTCACAGGTGGCTCGATTCCGGTGGTTCGTATGCTGCTGCTGCAAACTTTTGCCCATTTTCTCCCCTAGTCCATCATTTTAACGCAACTGTAGCAAACAATACTAATGCCAGCCTATAGCTGTTATCTTCATCAAGCTATGACATTCGATTACTTACCGTTACGGCAGGCTCAATTACACTCGCTTAAGTTTTACCTGCGTCCTGTAATGAGGACAAAGCAGTTAATACCTGTTGTAAATGTAGCCAACGCTGCGATAGGGGTAGGCCTAACGACAGTTATTACGCTGTCCTGATTACTCATCCGACGGTGCACTATCGATCGGTAAAAGTCGCGCGACTGTTGAGGTCGATCAATCAAGCTGCGGCCGTGATTAGTGTTCTGCACTATCACACTGTCCAGCCCGACAGTCAGTCAGAATGTTACCCCTCAAGAGCACAATTTGATTGGTCCATTCTTGTATATTTTGCTTGCTATAAGTACTCTGTACTAGGTATGGAAAAAGGCTTCTACTTTTGCGCTCTTGTTGTTTTCTTCCTTGGGGACTCACACAGTGCGTAGTTAGATGGCGATATCGCAGCTTTGGCTTCATTTACAACATATTCTCGATCACGCGCTGCACCTAGTACTCAGTTAACAAAAGAATTGATCAACTACTGTGTCCACATAAGCAATGATTCTGAGGGCTTGCTTTGGTTCAACGGAGTGCATCAAATAGAAAAACGGGGCACTTTTTTCTGCTCCTAAGAGTCACTTGGGAATGTCTTTATTGACCCCACTATCAGTTACTGTGGTGGTGGTGTCCATTAAAAAGGAAATGTGGCTTTATACGCCCAATTTGAGTACATCGTCGAGCATTTCGGATGGCAGACAGGTTTCATCGAGTGTTGCATTAGTAAATGCAACGAGCATGCGTAGAAAGAAGTGCAGTTGCTGAAGATGTCCCATTTGCATCTCTTTGATCGAATGAGATGTGCCCTCTTGTTTAAGTCGAGTCGCTTCGACCTCCTTGACCCAGGGCGAGTTAGCTACTGACAGAATCGGTCGTAATGGCGACCGTCGCACATGCTCTCTCTTTCTACCCTACGCTCCTAGGCCCGGGAGCAAGACAGGGTCAAAAAACGGAAGCTATTGTAATGTTGGCCAAAAGCCAAGGTATCACCACCTTATTACGTTATTGTGTCAGTCCCGAAGGAAGAACACAATAAGAAGGGCGCAAAATTAGATGTCTTTTAGCATACCTAGTACAGCGCACTTGTGGCAGGCAAATCGTAAAATATTTGACCAATCAGATCGTGGCCTAAAGTGAGGAGCGACTGCATTGGCTTTGTGACTCCTCCATCTGGCATGCTAGAGTCTTCAGCCTGGCCGCAACTACGCGGCATCAAGTGCACTGTGTGTAAGCGGGCCGGTGGTATGGCGTGAGAACGACTCGTCGGAACCGCGTGCGCACACGGTTGGGACGGGCTCTAACACCGCTGACGCGCGCAACACACGCCTGTTATGCGCACAATGGGTCATGTTGACAAAAAAAATAAGCAAGGGACAGCTCGGATTCCAACCGAGTGACAGTGTCATAGAGATGATACTCTGAAGGAGCCCCCCCGCGGCTCGACTCGCAGTCCTGAGGGGACTTACTTATCCTGTCACGACTTGTAGCGCTTCCTGACAGTTTCTAAACGCATCGGAATTTTTTTAAAGTGAGGATTGTCGTGGAGGTAGAGTTTCCATAGTCAACCCTGCACTATCTTTCGTCTCTCATTCACTGACCGAACCGATCAACTATCTGATGCAGGGATAAACTTCAAGTGGCTGGATGCGGCGTGAGTCTGCGCCTAGGCTTACCACAAAACTCGCCCCATGTGTGGCCTTTATTATTAGGATGCCTAGCATTGAGTTAATGCGTTTCGTTTCCCCGACATTTTGGTTCAGCATATCACTCTTTTTTATGTGCATCATCCCCGGAAGAGGAAGGAGTAGAGACGATTTCTGGGACCAAAGTGTATTCTGGCTGACGTTTCAAAAGCTCGCTCCCTCTCATCGTCATAGCGTGGTGTCTGTATTCCTGTTCGCGTCAGATAAATGTGAACGACCATTCGCCCATGTGTTAATCGATTGCACCGATCGATTTTCTTGGCTGTTTGAATTGCTTGCGCCCTCACGAGCGTCTTCCTGAGCTGGGTCAGGTCGTTTTTGTGTCTCGTGAGCGTGTCTACCCTCGTTGCTGGCGGCTGCCGTCTGTAGGCCCTGCTTATCTCTCTCCGCCCGACCTATTTCTCCGTTCTGAGCCGATGTCAGCCTTTTGCGGAGCGCTTGGTAGGCGGGATA